GTCAGTACATTGACCACTGATAGGTAGGAATGAATTCTTTGGCTAATCCATGAAACAAAGAAAAAGTATAAATGACTTTTTGTCCTCCTGAATGGCACCCCTCCTTCCAACAAAATGGGAGATGGTGCTAAGAATAAATCCCTTTTTTTAGTCATTTTATAAACATTAACTTAACTGTTTGTAATTTAATGTCCAATGACTGATAAAGTGCCATGCTATTGGAAGAAATCTATAACATCCATACTGATGTGAATGAAATAAGTGAGCAGACAAAATAAAGTTGTAATTAAACTGAAGGATGGCTTATAAGGATGGATCACAGTTGGTTTCACTATGTACCTAAAGGCAACAAGAACCATTCTTCCACGTGATATCTGGCCATCTGATATTGCAGTGTTTATAAGTATCTATAAAAAGACCACTATGAGGATAACTGTAACCTCTGTGCCCATATCTGTTGAAGAGAAGAAAGTAGAAACAATCTATGAGAAACAAAGGGTTTCTTACCCAAGTCAAAACTTATTTTGATGCTTAGCGACTTCAAAATAAAGATGGGAACAGGAGGGGATTACAGAAAGTATGCTGGAAAACATGGCCATGTTTGAGAAATGAAAGAGGACAAAGGCTCTTAAGATTACTTAGAATCTATGTCTGTCTGTGTGTCTCTCCTGAATATTTTCTTCCTGAAGAGTTAGATAGTAAATACAAAAGAAAAAAAACAAACTTAAAAACCACATAAAAAATGAAATTTGTTACGAAAAGACAGGAAATGATTGGTTACTGCTTTAGGAATGATATCAGAATCAGCTGAGTGCATTCTGAATATTGACTAGTTTTTAAAAGGTAATAAAAATGCATATCAAGTCATAAGTGACAAAATGAGAAGGCATATTTCATATAACTTCAATCAGACCTATTGAAAGTAAGCTGTTGATACCAAAAGATCAGAAATGGAAGAAGGGAACAGTATTAAACTTTTGTGGGAAATGGTGATAATCAAGGTCAATTGATTAAAAAAAAAGAGGCACCTTGAAGAAGTCAAAAGAGCCAAGGAGCTACTTTCTCTAGTGTAGACTTAAGTTTGCTACTAAAGCTGGGAGACATGGAAGACAACTTGGTTAAGAATACAAATTCATTTGTAAAATACCATGGAAGACTCATACAACTGTGAAAAGGAGAAATAAAATTATAAAAAGCTTAATTATGAAACTCAGTTGAGGTTTCTGCAGAGGTAGCAAGACATCAGGGATAAGATACCGGACTAGTAGTCAGGAAGATCTGTATTCAATTCCTACTTGAGATATTTCCTAGTTCTGTGATTCTGGGCAAGTCATTTAACTTCTCTGTGACTTGGTTTTCTCATCTGTAAAATGGGAGGCTGAGGGGGTAGGGACTTAATGTGAGGTCTCTTCCAGCTCTAAGTCTATGATTCTATGATTTCATGAATATATACAGATGAAACTGATGGAAGATAACATTAGAAAATGTAACATTTGTCAATATTTCTGCAACAATCAATTTTTATAATTATTCAGTCAAATCAACACAACTGGATGTTAACCCCTTAGTTCCCAATAACAGAATGTAGATATGGCACTAAAGAAGATGATGCCAGGAAGAGTAGTTGAACCAGATCAAGTAGGAATAAATCTTTCCTTGTGGAAATATAATTAAGAAAGTATTGAGGGATCATTTTATATCCATAAAGGAGAAGATAACAAAACTACTGAACAAAAACACAGTCAATATTTTTATACCCTAAAAAGTCCATTAAAATGACGATTACTACTGATCCATATACACACTTTTTAAACTTTATAAAATCTTTCTAAGAATGAAATACACATATCACTGTATCCTTGATTTGGAGCTACTACATCAGTGAAATCACAGGTCCAAGTCTAACTCATCAAATCTCTGATGCTTCTAAAGAGTTCAACTATTACTGAAGACTTTCTCTCTTTTTATGTTATTTATGGGATTTGTCACTAATACAAATTCTCTTATGTTTAGGAAGATGTCTTCTCCAGTCAAAGTCTTTCCCACATTATTGTTTTTTTGTAGTTTTTTCTCCACTGAAGTCTTTCACTAGAGAAATAAAGCATGACTAACTAAATGGGCATTGCCTCACTCAAAGTGAAAATTCAGAAAGACATTAGCTCAAAAAGTTCAAGGTCTCCGATCCTGGGCCAGCTCCAGTCATCCTGATCTATTTCTGGCCACTCGACCCAGATGGCTGTAGAGGAGAAAGTGAGGTTGGGGACTATGCACAGCCCTCCCTAAATCAAATCCAATTCAACGCAAGTCATGACGTTATTCCCTAATCTCCCTCTTTGAGAACAAAGGAAAAACCACAACCACAAAGCATGACACGTGTCTGAAGGCTTCTGCCATTACTAATATTTCAAGGTGTATTCAACAGCATAAATTCCTGTGTGTGGACACTTACCTACATTCACTGCATTAAGAAAAGGGAATAAACCTTAACAAATAATTTGCTACAGCAGACTATGTTTTTAAAAAGACAAGTGACTAAAAGATGTAGATAATACAAAATCCCAAGGTTTGTTGATTTAAAATATTATTTGATTCAGTAGACCAAAGCCTAGTCTTAATGGAAATCTTCCACCAATAAGGAGTCAGTCAGTCAATAAGTACTATGCTAAACACTGGGAATACAGAGAAAGGCAAAAGACAGTCCATGCCCTCAAGGAAATCATAATTTAATGGAGTTTTTTATACAAATGCAAAGATCAAGTTCAATTTCTTGACAAATTCCAAACAAAATGATGTAATTTCTTTTTAAAAATCTTTTACAGGCAGAATATAAACAGGTAATAAATAAAAAGAGAAGAAGAAGAAGCAGCAGCAGCAGCAGCAGCAACTTTACAAACAGGGACCAGTCTGAGTTTTGTTTTATCCTGAAATTTGGATTTAAAATGCAATGTGGCTGACTGGATACACAGGGCCTCAGAATCAGGAATCTCTGACACATACTTGTTGGGTATCTCTAGATCTAAAGTCACACAAAACACTCTTCCATGGTTAACTTCCCAATACTGCAGGTTACAAAGAAGCTGCTGATCTGTACCAGAAGAGGAAGTTCCTAACTAGGAGCTCCCTATACAGATGAAATCACAGACCAGATCAGAATTAAATAAACACTAAGGTGTATGCATAAATATTTTTTAAAAATGAATGCAGACAGCATGTAATATTGCAGAGTACTTGAGTACAAATGCATTTTCATCAATGCAACTATTTAGTTCAACTATAAAATTTCAACTGGAGAAAATATTGTGGATCGTGCCCCAAGTAATGCAAAAGTAGGGGAGAAACAGTCTTTGACTCCAAGGAGTTCACAATGTACTTTGAAGGGCACTGATTCCTGAAATATTGGGCTTAAAGATAACAATATATAGTGGGGTTTCAGATTCCATGTTGGAAATAATGTTACATCATCTTTTGACACATCTGTCATTGAAGTATTTGCATACAGTACTGAGCAATATGTTTTCATTAAATTTCCGCATTTCTTAAGATTGCAGTGTGATAAATGCCATATGCTCAGGATGTATTTAAGTGTGAGACGGTAAGAAGATGCAGGTGATTTATCCAAATATAACAAAATGAAGTGCGCTCTGCTCTAACCATTTCTACAGCATATACTTGATTTAACACACAGTTTTCTTTTAAAATGAATTAATATGGAGTGATACTTTTTTTTAAAATCAGATATTAGACCAAAGTGGTCCAAGCCACAAATAGAAAGCCAATAAGAACAGTGAGCCATGTTGACTACACACCTTTTCACAGATCTGTCTGTAGAGAAGAAAAGGGAGAAATAGACTGTTAATCAAGAAGAAGAACATATTAATAGATGTTACACCAAAAGATTCTGTGAAGCAAAAGAAAAGAGTGAAGGTGAGCTGATTCTCAAAGGGAAAGAGTGAATATGATGCCAGGTAAAATGAAGTAGTCAACTCAGAGTCGACCAGAAGACTGTCACATTGAATGCTTTTCTCAAAATTGCAAAACAATCTGTTTTTTAAATGAATGTTTTAATTAAGTGCTTCATAGGGAAGGTGTATTTATTAACTAACTTTCATATTTCTTTATTGTATCAATATCACTCAGATGCTTACAACATATGGGCTCATAAAGTTTAATCCTTTCATCTTTGGTAATTGACTGATTAATTCATTCAATATATACATTTTAGAGGACACTTTAGGAGTGTCTTTAAAAATTTAAACATTTGCTGAATTTAATGTTGACTTCATTACATTTATTGTATCAGTGGTGGGAGCTCCTCAGATGGGCATATTTTATAAAGTGGGAGAAACAGTGCCATATATATATAATATTTCTTAAGGTTATGTAACTAGTTTAAGAGAACCTTTGTACAAATATTAACTAAAAACAAAATTAGGAGATAATTATTCATATTATATGGGATTGCTTTGCAAAAGATTTCTCTAGGATACTCTAAAAAAAGAATGTGTATTTATAGGTGTGTATTTTTTTATATTTATATACCTGTACTTGTTTTAAGAAATTCTGAAAAATAAACAGTAAAAAGAATCACAGAAAGACTGTATTTTAAGTGTTAAAATGCTATTAGCATGGGAAAATGAATGAGAGGAGATAAAGCCTCTCCTTAAGTACTGGTTGATGAGGAAATAGTATTCAATTTAAAGAATCTTTATATGAATGCCACTTGCCAAGGTTACATAAATTGTATGAAACCATGTATGACTATATCTGAGAAGTTAATAAACAGGTACATATGAATAGTCATGGATCTAAAAAAACTTTTTAAAACTCATGATCTGGCATTTTTAATTATCATTAGGTAAAAGGACCACTTTCATTTTAGTAGATCACAAAAATAAATATGACACCTTAAAAATACTTAAGCATTAAATTTCACTAAGATGAATATTATTTACTTTATATCTTTAACATAAAGGAAGAAAAAATAATTGTGAAGGACTAACCTTTGTGAAGTAGCCCTCCACTCTGCTTTCTGAAGACATGATATTTCCAGTAGAAAATGATGAATTTCCTCTTGGAATATGACTTCTCCTGAGAAACATATGGGTATTAACATTCCTGACATGCGGTGGCTCCAGAACTGGACTGTTGATTAAACAGAACTGTTGATTAAAATTTTATTCTTTTGTTTTTTATTCAGGAGTCGGGCACTCACCTCAGCTAGTCTCTCATTAGATTACTCCTGTGAACATTTAAAAGCACTTAAATAGTTAGCATTTTTCTTAAATGGTTGCTGTTTCTTATTAATGCTATCATAATTGTGATTTTTCCCTGAGTAGTTTCTTAACTCTGAAAACAATTAAAGTATGTAGGTTATTAAAGTTTTTTGAGTTCCTTCCATTATGGTCTTTTCCCAATAAGTGGTATAAAGAAATTGATTGAAGAAAAAGGTTTTCAGATTGTCCTGGGAAAATTAAAAACAAAACAAAACAAACCACAAAAGATACTTGTAAATCTGGGATTCCTTACTAATCTGATATTTAAGGAAGCCATTAAAAGCATTTCTATTCTATAGATTTATATGGAAATTAATAGAGATGTTTTAAGGATATCAAATCTGGGTGATTATCCCAGGCAGTGCTTTTGCAGCCTTTCCTCCAGGACCCAGGCAGCAGCCAAATGACTCAGGCATGCAGTCTAAGGAGGAAAAGGAGGTGACTCAATTGAAGCTCAAAAAAAAAGTCCTGAGGCTCTCAACCATATAGTCAGCCCATAATACCTACCCACCATTGTTACCATTGTCATATATAGCAGAAAGATTGCCCCATTCCTTTTTCTTTAAGAGACAGCACCTTTTGGCTATCCAAGACTCCAATCTAAACCCTTCTGTAATATTTCCTTTCTTTCTCTCCCCCTCCAATAGCTCCCTCAATGAGCTTTCACCTGTATAGAAAACTGAAGGGCTGGGACAGCAGGGAATTGAGGGGCATGCTTCAACTTGCTGTGTGGTCAATAGGATGGCCCTGAGTCCTTCAGTCACACAATGTCTTATATATTGCTAGGATCCTGTTATATGTTTTCAGAAACACTTAGAACATTTTGGTACTGTCATTTGGTGAAATGAGAATAATGTTAGTCTAATTTTCAAAATATTTAACTTCGTCTTAAAAGGACTAATCTGTAGCAGACACTAAAAAGAAATAATATGCCATATAAATAAGATATGCTTAAATAATTTTCATAGGATCATAGATTGAAGACTGAAAGGGATCTCAGAAGCCACCTAATCAAACACTCTCATTTTAAAGATGAGAAAACTGAGGCCCTGGGAGGGTAAGTGACTTGCTCAAGATCAGACAGTAGTAAGCATCAGAAGCAAGATTTGAAGCCAGGTTCTCTGCCTCTAAAGCCAGAGTACCATCATTCCAATGGTCTTCACTGCATTCTTTTGTACCTAGTTAACATTTTAAAAAATATTTGGTTTACCAGTATGTACAAAAGTACAATCTCTACAGTTAACCCCCATTTCCCAATGAAGTTATAGATCAATCCATTAAAGATTTGTTAAATTCAAAATGGAAATCTTTAAAAGCAATCGGATAAGTTTAAGTACTATTTTCTTTGTGTCCCTGTTCGGGCTTACCTATTTAATTTGACTGACGATGATTTTTTTATTTTTAATTCTTCAGAATAAAGCTGTCTGTATCTCTCTAGCTCTGCTTCAGCAGACTGTTGATGTGACTTTTTCATTTTGGAGAGTTCGGATTCCAAATCTCTAATTCGTTTCTCCATTTGACTTCTTAGGGAAGCATTTTTATTTTCTCTTAATTGTTCTAAGTTCTCTTGGGATGCTGCTTGTATCTAAACCAAATGGAAAACAAAGAATGAAGTTAACAAAAAATGACCCAACTCTATCCTGAAGATTATAAGATGTTTGTTACCATATTTGGTTAGGTTTAATTTTAATTTCAGTCAGTGATTCAGAGCGCAATTCTGAATCTCTAAAAATAGATTCTAACTTTGAAAGGACTCATCATCTAGGTCAGCTGAATTAAATTTGAAGTTAAATATAATCTGTTTCTATTGATTATTAGTTCACTAGTTCTTACCCAGGTGATAATATTGGAATCATTATAAAGACCATATAACCCTAAAAAAAATTTAACTACAGAATCTTCCTGAATGTCTTGTTGCAATTACACTATTTGTCAAATTTAAAAAAAAACTCACCCTTCAAATTTTTCTAATTATGCCAATAATTTTTTAAAACTCAATTTATATGGATAGAGTGCTGTCCCTGGAGTGAGGAGGACCTGAGTTCAAATCCAGCTTCAGATACTTAACACTTACTAGCTGTGTGACTGTGGGCAAGTCACTTAACTCCAATTGCCTTGCAAAAACAAAACAAAACCACTCCCCAAAAAGAAACACCTTAATTGATAGTATACATGGTTATTTTCACTTATGATTTCAAAAGCTATTATTTTCCTTATTTAAAAAAAGCGATATTAAGCTTATGGAGACCAATAGAAATGAAGGCAGAGGGAGAAAAACTTAAAAAGTTATTCTGTATTTAGAATAAGGAAAAAAATCCTAAACGTTCATTTACATAGAAATCTTTTAAAAGCATAGTAGGCATAAATAAATTAACCTGTAAGAATAGGTTGACTTCTTTTAATTTGTCAATAATCTCCTGCCTTGCTTGTTCTTCAATCTCACGTTTATATTGTTCTATTTCACTGCTTTCTAGTTTAGTAATTTCCAAAAGATGCTTAAGATTAACTGCTTCTTCTTCCAATTGTCTTTTGTTCTTTTCCAACTTGGCACATTTCTTTTGCAAGATTTTCATAGAAATTAACTCTCCTCGAAATATCTGATTAATTGATTCCAACTGTTTACATTTTGAAGATGCTGCTTCCAATTGTTGTGTAAGGTCTTCAATCTGAATCAAATACAAGTTTAGCAAATTACACAAGTAAAATAAAATTTTTTCAACTTAAATACTAATTTAAACCTCTTAAGATTATTTTTAATTAAGATGTAATTAAATGGATCATTATCCTTATATTATAACTACAAAATATATTTCCTAAAATGATTATTTAAGTAAACTGATAAATCAAAAACAAAGCTAAGACTGAAAGGAGAAACCATGAAATTATATTACTAACTCTTATAGTCTGCATCATTCACATTTAGTACCTGATCCCATACTGTCTTCTGTGTTCTCTAATTTTTTCACCTGTCTTTCCTGACCAGCTTTTAGTACAGTGAGCAAATATCAATAAACTTCATAGTAGATGGATATTAACAAATTTTTCTTAAGGTATGCTAGGCCTACGGCAACAATAGATCTTAAAAGGAATTTGGAAAGAAATGAGATTCCTTTTGATCATCCTAATGAGAACACTGGTTCTATGATGATAGACTTTACTGAGAAAGCAAATAAATTTATGCTAATTTGAATGTCACATCGTGAGATGGTCAGTTTCAGAGCCAGAGAAAATCATGTCTTTCTCATCTACAGAACTCTGGTGATAGTACCCAGGAAATACACCACATTTACCAGAGCTTCCATTGTGTAATGGCCCCCTTCCTGCTCCCCACGTGCCTCAACAAAAGAAATCAACAAGCTTAGCAGAGCTTCTACCTGTTTTCCTTCAGCCCCAAGAGTTAGACGACTGCCTGAAATAAGTGATAAATAAAAAAGTGTGACACCATTGATTTCCAAAGGGCAAAAACTCAATAAATGTTAAGAAGTTAGTTCTTTTAGATAAATGTGGATGAGAAACACAAGACAGAAGACATCAACTAGGAAAATTAATGATAGTAAGATATTTCTAAGGAGTCACTTGTCATTATAGAAAAAAAATAGTACTTCTACTAGTTGGCATCATAGCACTTTAAGGTTTGCCATTATCTCATTTGAACACTTATGTTTTTTTTCCCCCAAACCTCCTTAGAACTTTCCCCCAACTTGTGATAGCCTAAGTAGTTAGAGTTGGGGAAATGTCTCAAGATTATCAAAAATTAGAATCTTTGAAAAAAAGTAGTAGCTTCAGATCAATTAGTCAATTTATTATTCTTCTGGAAGGGGGAAAATCTTTGCTTCCCTAAAATACAAAAGCAATGTATAGGGTATACTACAATAAAATGGTTTTCACCCAGATCAACTCAAGTCCTGTTTTTAGAGACAAAGTCCTTAATTTTTATAACTCGGTGTTGTATTATGAAGTCTCTTGATATTAGCAATTATCACCTTGCAATCAAACTATTGCTTTATTTGTTCTTTGTCATCTTAAAATCTCTTAAAGAACTATTGCTTTTCAGATTGTTTCTGCTTATTAGTCCTCTTTTTGGGGGGAAATTTTTTTTATCTTCAGGATTACAGAAACATAGTGTCAGAGGGAGCTCCGAAGTTGTAAGAGGCCCTGCAAATACTGACCTTAAAAGGCTTTCCAGCATTTTGTTTCTTCAAACAGCCCACTTCCCTTTGGGAATACTCTAATTGTTAGAAAGTTTCTCTTTACATCAAACCTAAATTTGTGTCTAAATCAATTTGTAACTTCTATTCATAAGCAAAACAACTCTTTCTCCCATCTGACAAAGCATTTAAATATTTGAGAAGTTACTTTAACACAATATATTTAGGTATTTGATATCTATTTGACATGAATTCTATAATGTGAGTAAAGGAAAATTTTCTAATATACAAATCTATATAGAAAGTCACTGGAACCCAGAATTTTAAAGTAGATGTAAAGTCCCCAAGTGTGTCTACTGAGTCCCTGAGAACAGCAAGAACTGTGTGACTAGGTCTTAGGTAGAAAGTGTTGCCTTCCAAACATGAGGAAGATGTAAATCTTCTCATGGGTATTGGTGTCCAGTGACCTGCTACATATATAATTACTTCAAAAGGAATACAATGATAAGACATTTTACATTTTCCAGTATTAAGGACTACCTTATTTTTCAACCTATTAATTTGTCTATCCATTTCAGAATGTGTTTGCTTATGTTCCCCCTCGTGAACAACATCTTTTTCATATTCTCTTAATTTCTTTTTTGTTGTTTTCAACAGTTTTTTAAATCTGTTAGAATGAACAGAATAATTAAGTCAAATTCTTTATAGCTTAAATATTATATATTTAAAAAGTATTATTTTTGACGCATTCACTTAAATTCTTTTAAAGCACAGAGAGAAAATATATCTAAAAAGAGTTCTTGAGGTCACCCAACTCAGATCCAACAATATTTTGTTAAAATAAAACCAAAGGAACAGTAGCCTCACTAATCATTTCATCTCAGTATCAAATGATGTATATTCAACATCAGCTCTTTATTAATATCACTTTATTGTTGAATATTCCCCAAATGATTTCTGGTTATGCTGTAATATTTGTAGAAAAGGGAATACCTTCCAGTAATATAATCTAAAATTCAAATCATGAGTATATTTATTTTGAAAAAAGTTTTATGGTGATGTTTTGTACTCCTGTTATTTTAATTGTAGATCTGTGTAAATTAGCTGGTCAGGTATTTAAACGCCACAGCCCACAAAACACAAATGATATCATTTAATGTTATTAGAATACAAAGTTGTATTTAAAATTTTTGTTTAGTGGATATAAATAAGGGCAGTCCCTAACTTGAAAAGTCAATCGGATCTCACAAGTTATTTTGTAAATTGACTGTTTGGAACAGGGAATGCATTTTCCCCCTGCTCTAAAAAGAAGTTCAATAGAAGCCCACAAAAACCTAATTAAACCATAACAACTGAATTACAGTCCTGGAAAATGCATGATGATTTGGACACTCTCCTCTGCCACTGAAATGCAGCCTCTAGCCTATGGTCAGGGGATTTGGCACCTCAACAGTGGTGGCCTCTTGCCATATTCAATTAAAATTCATCAAATGGAATTTAATTAAAATTTAATTAGAAAGCATTAAGTGCTTACCCCTAAAGGTTGTGATAGAATACTAAATTTACACAGACCATGATCCAGGCTCTCATTCAATTGGAATATAAGATTTACATGTAGATAATTACAATACAAAACAAACTGTAAGAGCTGTAGGGGAGTGTAGCAAAAATTGTGACGTGAAGTCTGATGGTGAAGGTCATTCATCATCAAGAGCAGAGATCAGAGTAGGCCCCATAGAGGAGCTGCATTTGGGTGAGGTCGAGTGCAGAGGCCATGAGTGAACATAACAGGCAAAGCGCAGAGGTAGGAAAGCACAAGGCATGTTTTGAAGGACAATGAACAGTCCAGTTTAACAGGAACTTAAGTTGTAGAAGAAGGAATAATATAATTTAAATGTGCAAAGGCAGGATGCTGCCACATTGTGAAGGGCCTTAAATTCCAGGACACGACATTTTGTAGAGGCTAGATCAAAAGTCATATCCTTAATGGAATCTTGCTGATCCCATAAAGTCAGAAGAGATCTTTACTTCTTGAGTCTCTGATTGTGTTTTCTTTAGATCATTCTTAAGCACTTACCACATTCTTATTCGCACACTTATTTCAGTGCCTGTATTACCTCTATTTATGTATAGGGACTATACATTAATCATCTCTGTAGCTAGGGAATAGTACAGTATTTTATACATAACAGATGTTTAATAGTACTTTTTGAATGAGTGGTAAAGGAACAAATACGTGAATAAGGAAGGGAATAAATTAGGACGGAGAACAAAGAGACCAACCTTATAGAAACAATTTATGTACAGAAATAGCATTCTTAACAAGAGTCAAATATGGTATAGTATAAGTCTGGAAAACATACGTTAAGGTACAAGTGCTTCACAGCATTTACTATAACTTCAAAGATGCAGGTCAGAAGGTTTGATTTTCAGTAATCATTTAGTGAATAAAGTGAAAATGAAAAAAACTCTTTGTTCACTTAGAATGATACATGCTGTAATTATCCAAGTGTTAATGTGTAAAACTAATTTGTATTTAGGATTTAACAAAATAGTTAAGTCCTTGCTTACTTAATGTGTGGTTGAAACAGCCTGTAACAAAAATGAGTCTTACCCAATGAGTTCTTTCTGTAATTCATCATTTCTCTTCATTTCTTGTTCTATACGATTTTCCAGAGATTGCTTTAACTCAATGAGTTTCTTTAATTTTTCCCTTTCAGTATTAAGCTTTGAAAACATTTTTATAAAGAACAATATTACAAGAACTGAACTGGCATTTTTAAAAAGAATACTTTTCATTAACTCCAGATCCAACTGTAAATATCAGTTTAAGCATAGTTTATAAAATCAAAACAAATATGGAGAGATTTGAAAATGATTGATCTTACTTCAAACGATATAGCTTTCCTCTGATTATGCTACAACCTATTTCTTTTTTGAAATTTAGATCAATGAACATTCTCATTTGATTTCAATATAGGTATTTCTTTTACTAATAATGTTAATAAATTTTAAAATGGTTGAAATGAGTAAGAATGCACAGAATGTGGGCCAAGTTTGCCAACACACTTTGGAGGAGCACTGGTCTCCTTTTCTCTAGAGCCATTGGGAATGGTCTCCTCATCCCCATTCCCCCTATGTTGGCACACCTGGCCCATGTTCTAAGCATTCCTATGTTAAAATATCTATATATGTGTTCTTAGGTAAGGCTATAAAACTCTTCAACAAATATTTGGCTAAGTGAGATGGAATCTGTGAGAATTCATGTTTTTTTTTAATTCTCCTACAATGGTTATCTATTGCTCTGGATTATGAGCTAGGTAAATCACCTGTCCTCTTCTCAGCTTCCTTCAAAGGTTTTCAAGCTCTCCCTTCTCCAGGGGTCTTCTCTATCTTACAAAGGAAGAAAGAACCCTCCTCATCCTGCTGAATTCTGCTGCCCCTTCTAGATTCACTCCTCCTTCTCCTCTTTGCTTCCAAACTTCTTCAACAAATGACCATTCCACTGCCATGCCAGCTGCTATTTCATCATTTCTTGTTTCCATTTCACTCATCTATTTATTTATGATTGTTTACTTATTTGGTCTCTACCTGTGATTTAATTGGTATGGGGAATTCTCAGTGAAAAAATTCCATCTATCAATGCAAATAGGCTGTGCGACCAGCCTGCAATTTAGAATCTGCAACTCTTAGAGACTTAGGAAATCAAGAGGTTACAAGGCTTGCTCAGGATCCCAAAGTCATCTGTGTCAGAGTTCAGATTTGAACCCACGTTTTCCTGACTCTGAGGCTAGCTCTGTAGGCATATAACATGGTGCTTTTCTATATTTCCATGAACTCTGGATTACCTCCCTACTGGTCTACTGAAACTGCATTCTCAATAGGCAGAAGTTCTATCCATCCCCCAAAATCTTTCTTCTTAGTCTCTGACTTTGCTGCAACATAGGATCCTTTTTCTATTATCTGATTTGTCATTTATTATCCCTGTAAATGATCACTTGACAGTATTTCTCTTTCCTCTTATATCTCTTATGGCTACCACCTTAGTTCAGACACACTACCTCAAGCAAAGGATCATAAATGTAGAGGTGAACATTTTATTCCAACCTCCTCATTTTACAGATTAGGAAACAGGCACAATGATATTAAGTCACTTGCCTATGGTTTAAAGAAAAGGTGCTACAGGGTCTTTGCATTCTAGTTTTAGCCCCACACCAATCAGATACAAGGTGCTAAGTTTAATCTTCATAAAACACTGTTTAGATCATATTAATGCCTTACTCAAGAATCTACAATGGGACTGTTTTGGTCTTCCAGCTTGAGGCTAAACTTCTTTGCCTTTCTTCGTCTAAAATCTAACACACCTGTTTTTTTCCAACTTTTACTTCTAGTTTCTTTACAGCAAACCTCCTCACACTCCTGTGCTTTTGCTTTTTTCCTGAACTGTATTGTTCTCCTATCCTATTGATCCCTTCCCAGTCCTCAAAGGCAACTCAAAGTTCTATCTTTTCTCTAATAATTTTGTCTGTGGCATACAGTGAGCATGCCTTTTTAGTTAGTTTCTAATTTTTGTGCTGCCACTCACTTCAGTTCTTATTTCAGTATATAATGCTGAGATATTTTATAGAGACATGGTAGGAACTCATTAAACATTTTTTAAGGCAATTGGGGTTAAGTGACTTGCCCAGGGTCACACAGCTAGTAAGTGTCAAGTGTTTGGTCTGAGGCCAGAATTGAACTCAGGTCCTCTTGACTTCAGGGCTGGTGCTCTATCCATTGCACCATCTGGCTGCCCCACATTAAATATTTTTAATGGTAGATTTGAGAGAGCTAACTAGGTTAGAGAATAAGAATAAGCAAGTAGGGTTCACTCACATACAATTGTAGACTGTTAGAGCAAAAAAGGACCCTAGTGATGAGTTAGTACATCATTTTTATATATGAGGAAACTCAGGCCTGAAGACAGAAAACCATTTGTCAAAAGTCATATGGACAGCCAGGGCTGAGCCAGGACTCAAAATCTTGGAAAAGTCACCTTCAGATGTAGATTTTTAATAATTTATATTTATTCAATTATCTAAAATGCATTTTATTAAATTTAGCTATTTGGCAATTGTTCTTCCAAAAGAGGTAGTAACTCAGGAAATATGCACTGAGTATTTTTTCATGTTGGGAAGAAGAAGATTGGATTAAGTACTATCTGCTCTATTCTCCAACCCTTTTATAAATGCTTATGTTACTTACTTATATACCACTCACTTGGTACTTGTTTATATTCTACCTTGTATTATAAATGAACTTCCTCTATTTTGCACAGTGTTTGAGGCCATATTTGATGTCAGGTCTTTCTAATTCCAGGCCCAAAGTTCTATCTATATTTCCACCAAGCAGCCTCTCAACAGAGAAAATCTCATCATCAAAAGCTGTAAGTTTGGCTGCTTTGGCATAGAATTCCATTACTTTACCACTGATGATGGACACTAGGTTGAAAATGTTTGAAAGATATCAGAATTATCCATTTCTACACTTTTGGTGTGGTATAATGATGAATACGATACCATTAACTACATATAAATATAGGAAAGCAACCTAGAATAGATAAATTAATTTTATAGTAATAAGGTGAATACTTTAGGAGCATTTGACTGTGAAACTGTATTCTATACTTAACTTCATTATAATAGTTTTTTAAAAATAATAAAAATAAAATATTTTATACTAAATTTTTATTTTGCTATTAGGGGATGCTGGGAAATTGAAAATTTATACAAAATCAGACTAGAAAGAAACTCAAAAATGTATAGTCCAAGTATTATTTTGGAGCTATTTTAATTTTAACTAACCTTTAAACTCATGGCAAAGAAAAAAAAATATTTACTTAGCATCACCTTTTTCTTCTTCGTCTTCTTTTACTACTACTACTACTGCTGCTGCTGCTGCTGCTGCTGCTGCTGCTACTACTACTGCTACTACTATTACTACTACAATAATAAATATTTATTCTACTACCAACGTGCTATGAAAGGGAAGTTCTATGGAAAATAAAGAAGCATAAACAATCCCTGTACTTAACAAATTAAAATCTAGTTGGGGAAACAAAACTTAGACACAGGAAATTATATTTTGGAAAGATGTGAACACCATAAGGCAATCAATTACTAAATTGATTAAATTTAAATTAAATACAAAATATAATGGAATTAGTTGAATACTAAATTATATGGTATCAGATGAAAAGTGGAATTCATAAGATTGTGAAATCAATAGGGCTGAAAAGTAAAAAAAAAAGCTTATGACAGAAGAATCATACTTTTGGAATTCAAAAGGATCTTAGAGATGAAGGTAGTATTTGCGAAGCAGGGTGCTGAAGAATGGATAGGTTCTGGATAGGGAGCACAGATGTAGAAGTATAACTAACCAAGCAAGAAGAAGAGCATGAGTGAGGGTATGGACATGGAAATCAACATGATGATTTGATCAGTAGATCAGTTTGAATAAATTAGAAGATAATGATGTGATTATCCATCTAATTACTTTAATTCTCAATTTTGCTTTGCATGCACAATTTATATACTTTCACATTGTGAATATCATTTTTCTTTCATTTAAGGAGTAGTTTGAATAGAAGCAAACAAATAACTTCTACTTCACAGAGCTGTTTTGGGGATTAAATAAGATAACATGTGTAAAGGGCTTTCTAAACTTAGAAAAACACCTCATTCCTTGTGTGAGGATAGATAAGCAAAATTGTCAACTACCAAAAGAGTGAATATAATTATCCCAATTTAAGAGTACAAATGGTGGAGGTTATAGGTCTTCTTCTAAGTCAGTTTAAATGACAGGCACAGTTCAGGAAATATATAATATCGGTAAAAAAATAAACGTTACACCGCAAACACTTTCCATTAACCAGTGACAGGTTACTGATTTTTGCATACATACTTTACTTTTGGTCTGATCTGTTTCGTTCTGTCGTTTTTTCATATCGTCTAAATAATTTTGAAAATGTGATGTAACCTCTAGTGAAACTTCTGTCATGGATTGATATTTTTTGGAATCAGCAAGTTCTTGTTGAAGCTTTCTTACTGTACCCTGATAGAAATACATCCGAATTATTTCTATTATTGATTTCATAAATCAATATTAGGTCATATAAAGTAAATGTACCTTCATCACATGCAACTTAATTTAATCAATGTATTCATAGTTATTATAAATTTAGAACTCGAAAAAGTTTTAGGCACTATTTAATCCAACCACTTCATTTTGCAGATGAGGAAACTAAGCCCCAAACAAGTCAAATGAGTTACTCAAGGTCACAAAGGTAGTAATTAATAGAAAAAATGATTGGAATTTAGCTCCTGAGACTACAATGCTATTTTGACTATACCACTCACCCTCCATTCAGCATGGATCAAATGCTATCTTCCTACTTGCTCAGTATTCTCCTCATAAAGCAATGCATTCAGCCTAATTTTCCCATTCCATCTTTTTGAGAATTATAATACCTCCTAAGCCACATAGGGGATAAAATTTTTTAAATGCAATTCACATGGAAGGTGGGGAGATGGGAGAGTGAAGAATATATAGCTTCCTAAACTTGATAGAAACATTAGGGGTTTTTCCCTTCTGTTTTTCAGAAAAGTTAACTACCTTATTTCTTTTCACTGGCCCTTATAAGAATGAAGACATATGCAAGAACAAGTTGCATTTTTCTTCCTCTCAGATTCCCCTGAAAATGAACATATGCACTGATATGCTTGTCAGGCCTGGCAAGAAGCACTTGAAGTGATTGACTTGTTTTGCTGAAAGCAAAAAAAAGGGGGGATGAGGGGTTGCTAGCTACTATTCACATCCTCAACTGTCCTTGCCAAACCTTCAAAGCAGTTCCTTTTTCTGTTAGAATAGGAATTACACTCCTCATTTCACTCAATGGACAGAAAAGGGGGAAACTATAGAAAATATGGTAGTTCTACCACTTATGTATACACAGTATGGTGCAAGGTCACAGCTAAAGGGAAGTCATTGCATTTTGTTTCATTTCATTTCATTCTCTAACCTAGCAGGAATACCTACATACATATATACATGCACACACATATATGTATTTGTACATATGCATACAAATACTCACTTGTATATATATATATATATATATACAGACATGCTATGAAAATCCTGTTACTTTCACTAAAGAGCAAAGTAAATTATTGTACATATTTCTAATAGCAAATGAAGCTAAAAAGCAAAAGAAATTACAATTTTTCTATCTCATTAGATAAGATTAAGTATCTTGAAAAAATAAATATAACTAAGGTCAAATAAACTTTTTAAAGGAAACATAAGCTAAAAGAAGCCCATGTAAAGTTGTAAAAGGGAAAATTGGCATAAATAATTAAATTCCTCCAAATAAACTAAATACTAATATGAAATGATTCAAATGATTCAAGCACATGATCATATACACTAAAAATTAAATCTAAAAAAAATTTTATATGAAAGTGAATACTTGCAGAATACTTGGTAGTCCTGCCACCTGCTGCACACATGAAAAAAATCACAGATGAGAACTGCTATTAGCCTGTAAAAAGCTATCTATGTTCAACAAATGAAAGGCAGTGATCCTAAAACCTGAAGTTTTGGACATTAAGCAGTGTTAGTAAAATAGTGAAAAAATACTGAGATAAAAATATGTAGTGGGGAAGAAAAAACATGTTTTTTTTTTGATGGCACAATTACTACATAAAAAATTAATGATTAATGCATAATCATAATCAATTTTAACAGAACTACTGTACTAAATTTTAAAGAAAACTTGTTGCTAGTTTTTGTAATTTCATTAAAAGTATGATCCAGTGTTTAATATTTTTTGGGTTAAGTGACTTGCCCAGGGTCACACAGCTAGTAAGTGTCAAGTGTCTGAGGCCAGATTTAAACAAAGGTCCTCCTGACTGCAGGATTGGTGTCCTATACACTTTGCCACCTACCTGGCTCCCAGTGTTTAATATTTCTAAAATTAGTTTCAAGTACTTTGAATTAAAAACTAGACAAGTTGATAAATATGTTAAAATGGTTACAAAAAGGGTAACTATAATATCCCAGTGTCTCAATTCAGATATTTAATTTGAATTATTACATTATTCCTAGCATAATTTTGCAGAACTTATCTTAAATTTTACCATTTCAAATAATTTATTTCACTGAAGTATTAAAATTGAATATTATGCATATTATTAGAATTACATATTTATCAGTATTTATTTACAAGAAATTAAATCTATCTATATTTATTAAGCCAAAATTTAATGAGCTACATAATATGTTATTATGTACTTAGCGAAGTGAGTCATTTTATCTAAAAGATGGATATCAGGATTGATTTTTATTGTGTTATTGCTTCCTCATTCTCTTTTCTTACATGTCAGAATTTTTAAAATGAAAGTTAACATCATCTGCCTGCTGAAAATTCAAATTCCTAATTTACCTTGATCAAAATTATTTTCAATTTCATTTCAAAAAGTTAAATGCTTATCAAATGATATTATTTAAAGACCTACCTCTCTTTCTGCTTTCTCATTTTCATATTTACACATTTGCTCTCTTAAGTGTTTGCATTCAATGATTAACTCTTTATTTCTGCCTTGTACCATAAGAACTTGTTTTTCCGTATCAGCACAAAGTTTATTGAAAAGATCGATAAACTGTACCTGGGCATCACTCAATACCTTTTCTTTAAGGATGCCTTTGTTTTGGGCATCTTCAAGCTGTTGCCGAAGCAATATATTTTCACTCTGGATTTGAGCTAATCTTTCTTGGATAGATTCTTGTTTGATGACATATTTGTTCAGTTTTTTCATTTTCATTTGATTTGTCTCTTCCAGTTCCTTTGCTTTATACTGGGCCTGGTTTAATTCTCTCTGTGTGCTTTCTAAAATTACTGTCTTTTCTCTGAGGGAATCACGTACACGGTATAGCTCATTTTCTAAACTATTGGCTTTACTTTCAGCTTTGGAGAGCTCTTGAGAAAGGACACCATTCTTCTCTCTTAGACTAGACAAGTCATAATTTAGTTTGTCCTGTAAATGAAGCCAGTCATCTCGTTCTCGCTGAAAGCTATGTTCAAGGTCCAGTTTTGATGTCTGACTTCGCTCATGATCACAAACTGCAGAAGTCAGACGGGAATGGTATGATTCAATTTCTGTCTCTAATCTGTCTCGGTTTTGTTTTTCATTCTCCAATTTAGAGTTCAGGATTGCATTCTCAGTTTTCAGAACATTTACTTGTCCACTGTACTGGGATATTGTATCTTCATTCAGTTTTAATTCCTTTTGAAGCTCTTCGTTCTTTTCTTTTAAAACTTCATTTTCTTCTGTATATTGATTTTCTTTCTCCTGATCTTTAATTTTTACTGTATCTAGTTCCAGTTTAAGCATGGCAACTTGATCCTGCAGAGTTTGATTTTCATGCAGGAGATATTTTTCTTTTTCATTGCTATCAGGAACCTAAACACAATTAGCAGAAAAAAAATTGCTACTCAAAATAAAATTATGCATTCTGATTTTTCTTTAGTAATTAAAAATAAACCCCAATGTGCCAAGAAGCATAGTATATTCTAAGAAAACATAAATTGAGGGAATTACACCTATTTCATATTTCTGTCAGACTCAACTTTCCCAAAGAATAGATCTTAAAAGTGTTACATCAATCAAAAGGTATGCATTGTATTTCTAAGTCCCCAAATTTGTCTGTCTTTCAGCATATTCTATTTCCTTTGCTGTATCCATTCGATCCCACACCGGCTATTCATAGGGTTATGACAAACAATAACAATACCTAATATTTATAGAGGCCTTTTAAAGTACTTTGCAAAGTACTTTCGAGACATTATCTCACATAAGCCTTGCAACATACTTATGAGGGAAATTCTCATATTATTCTCCCCATTTTAAAGATTAGGACTTAGGTTAGGAGAAGTTAGTAAATAACCTGGTTATTGTCACACAGCTAGTTAAGTTTTAGAAGCAGTACCTGAATTCAAATCTAGCACTCTTTTCCAATAGCTAATTTCCTCTTAGGCTGAACTTAAGTAGTTATCCTACAGTTAGAGTCATTGTCCTGGTACAATGAGCTGCAGACCAATGATGTGATAGCAGTCTTAGAATTTCTTAGTGTACATCTTGTCAGATGAACAATCTATACTCTGACAGATCTGTAGCATTTTCAGAGCACCGATTTAGAATTTTTAGAGGTTATCTAGTCCAAACTTCTCATTTTAGGGATAAGAAAAGAGAGACCCAGAGCGTGGTCTATAGTTGGCAACCTAACCCTAACCATCAAATTTTAAAGGAATAATGAAAGCATTATTGACGCCAAAGCATAAAAAGTTGATTTGGCACTCCCATCATAGTAAAACTTGTGCAAGAGCACTGGACCCCATTCAGGACTGGTGGAAACAGCTACATCAAAAAGCTCAGGAGCCCCATTCTAGGAGGTCCCTTCTATAAGGACAGGAGAAAGGGATGAATAGGCAGCAGCTAAGTTAAACGAAGCACTCCGGTGCCCACGCACCAAAGGATTACTAAGGGCCAACAACCCGAATGATTTACTTCAAACCACTGTTAAAAAAAAAAAGAAAATGAAAAATCCTAACTTTGGCATTTGATGAACTTTTGTTTCTATCAAGCTGAGCAATAATCAATGTGAATGAATCCTTGTAATGTAGAGCCTTGTTTTAGAAATCTAAGTGAAATTTATTCTAGTTGCAATACTTTTTTCCTTCTCTTTCATGAAACATGAGTGAGACAACAATGTGAAACAGACCAAACTATTCTCTTATGTTTTGTAACCCTTGGTCTCTGCCCTGGAAAGGGCCAACAGATGAAATCACTTAATTAAGGAAGAAAAGTGGTTTGTGTTTGAGGTGTTACCTTCTACCTCATTGCATTCCTTTCTCCCTTTAGGGGGTTAGTGAAACTGACGAGCTGCCCCCCTTCCCATGTCCAGAAAGGGCAGAGGCTCTACTGAGAGGCAGGGATTTGCCCCAGTAGAAGTACACTTGTCTCTGGGGGGATCATTCAATTCAAAGAAAAGAAGCAACAAAGTAAAACAAACAACCTGTGCCGGTTTTGGTCACCATGTGTGTCAGTGCTTGTCTGTTGTACACAGATGGACATGACTGCGGATGACAAATATGTCCAAAAATGAAGAACAAAAATCCTGACTTTTTAAATATGCAATTAGATTTGAAAAAGACCAAAGGGAATACCTCAGAACTCTGAATCCTTTTGGGAGCAGCTGCTTCTATTTCCTTTTGCTTCCAAAGAGGATTATTCAGAATTCTGTCTTGCAAAGCTCTGGCACTCTGCTCCTGAGAAAGTTGTCTCTGAGTGTCATTTCGCTCTTCTTCAACCTGGGGACAACAATTCATTAAATTTTTAATCATATTTTTCCTTCAAAAGTCAGCAAAAACATTTTACCTTTAACTGGAATATAGAATCTGAAAAAGAATGGAAAATAGCTGAAAAAATTCTAAGAAAAGTAGACTACTGAAAACAAAAAGTAACAGGAAGGCTAGCATTTCAGAGTTGTAAAGGAACCTCAACAGCTATTCAGATCAATCCATACCCATTATTATGTACCTGACTCTTACCAGACTTTACTTAGCCTTGGCTTGAAGTCGTCATGGAGGGGGTTGGGGGAAGCCACCATCTATCCAGGCAACTCATTCTACTTCTACTCTATTTGTTAGCAATTTTTTCCTAACATTAACCCTAAAACTGTATATTTTTGCAACTTCTATCCACTGCTCTTAGTTCTGTCCCTGAGGTTGAAGCAGAGCAAGCTTAATCCTTCTTCCACATGTCTGTCCTTCAATGAAGACAGTTATCATGGCCCTTGAGTTTTCTTTTCTCAAGGAACATCTCCAGTTCTTTTAACTGATCCTCACATGTCATGGGCTCAAGGCCCTTCCTCATCCTGTTTGCTGTCCTGCTTACTAGCCACCAGAATTCTGTGGTAGCCACAAATGAACAAAATAGTACAGGAGAGGTCTGATAAGGTCAGAGTGCAGAAATATTTTTACCTCTTCAGTTTTGGAAGCTATGCTTCTCTTAATGGGTTCCAAAATTACATTAACTTTTTGGTTGCCAAATAACAGCACCGACTCAAATTAAGCTTATAGTTCACTAAGACTCGTGCATGTTTTCAGACAAAATGCTGCTATCTAATCATATTTCCCCCAACTTATCCTTGTGAAACTAATTTTTATACCTATTATAAAACTTTACATTCTTTACTACTGAATTTCATCTTATTAGTGGGTTCAGTCCAGTCCTCTGACCTATTAAGACTTTGCCTTTCTTCCATTTAGAAAGGCTTGGATAATTTTAACTGCATAAGTACAAGCTAATACGCTAGAGAACAATAAACTTTTCTTAAAGACTGAAGGATGTGTGGTAAAGTGGAATATAAGGAACAGAGAAAGGAACTGAATCTGCATTGGCCTAGAGAATTTTCAAGTAAGGAAACTCCCTTTAACAATGTAGAGGAGTTCTCTGGAACTTACAGTTTAGACAGTTACCTGAAGCAATGGTGTCAAATAGATGCCCCTAGTACTGAGTTTTGTGGGCAGCTTTTGTGGAGTTGGACACTTCTGGTCTTGGGTCAGGTGAAATGACTTGCCCAGGATCACACAGTCAGTGGTAATATTGAAGCTGGTCCTCTTAGATTTGAGGCCAGTTCTATCCACTACACCATATTGATTCTCTACTGCGATATATATTTTAAAATGTACTAGATCCATTTTACCTTTTCCATGGCTATTCAGCCTGTAATTTTACATTCAAGTGCTAAAACAAGGGAAGTTTTTCTTCATTTTTCTTTACATATTTACAAATTATTGAACCCAACTTACTCATACTAGACATAAATACTATGGCACTTTTTTAGGATTTAAAAAATTATTTGTTTTAAACATTCTTTTAAAAATTGAGTTCCAAATTCTCTCTCCCTCAGCCATTAAGAAGACAAGCAATATATAATTTATTCATCTGAAGTCATGCAAAACATATTTCTATATTAGCCATGTTATAAAAAAGCAAGAAAAATTAAAAAGTGAAAAAATAGGCTTCAACTTACACTAAGTTTGTCAGTTCTCTCTCTGGAGTAGGACAGCATTTTTCATCATGATTCCTCTGGAATTGTCTCATATCATTTTCTCGATCAAAGTAGCTAAGTCATTCACAGTTGATTGTGTGATCATCATTAAAATATTGATGGTACTGTATACAAGGACCTCCTTGTTTTGCTTGCTTAACTCTACATCTATTCATATAGGTCTACTCAAGTTTTGGCAAAACCATCTCCTTCATTTCTTAGAGCACAATAATATTCTATCACAATCCTATACAACCAGTTCTTTAGCCATTCAGCAATTGATGGTCATCTCCTCAATTTCCAATTCTTTGCCACCACAAAAAAGACCCGCTAGAAATATTTTTGTACATGTAGGTCCTTTTCCTTTTCCTTTGATCTGTTGGGATATAGATCGAGCAGGGGTATTGCTGAGGCAAAGGGTATACACAGTTTTACAGCCTTTTGTACATAGTTCCAAATTGTTCTCCAGAATGGTTGGATCCATTCTGAATTGTCCATTAGTGTCCCTATTTTTCCACCTCCCCTCCAGAATTTGCCATTTTCCTTTTCTGTCATGTTGGCCAATCTAAGGTAGGGTGATGTGTTGTTCCAAGTTGTTTTCATTTGCATTTATCTAACCAATGGTGATTTAGCACACTTTTTCATTATTATTGATCAGTTTGATTTCTTCATAGAAAACTCTGTTTATATTCCTTAACTATAATGGGAATCTTATTCATCTTTTCATGTGTGTCACTAATTAGATGACAAGGCATTTGGCTACCATAAGAAGGTCATAGTTAATTCTGCTGTTTACCTGTATTTCAATGAGCTTCTTCCCTTTGAAGGTCAGAGCACTGGGCAGAAATCACATTGCATCAACATCTGCCCCAGACCCCCTGTTGCTTTATTTTAATTAAGGTGATTCTAAATCTTTATGGTCCACAGTGGCTGCCCAAATGAATATGAGCAGAAGCAGCACCAGCAACATCAGGAACACAGTTCAGATCATGATATCTTCCTCAAGCACTATCAACAATTATTCATCACACATTAGGCATAGGCTCATCTCATGGCCAAGAGATCATCTCCAAGCATTTTGCATGACATATGCCCAGGGATCAAACTTAATACTAAGATCTCCCAATACCGCCATTCACTCAGTAACCCCTGGTTCAGCCATCATAACCTCTCCTTCCCTAAAGGTCCACGGGAGGATAACACTAAATGGTTGCCCCTTTAGAGGCCTCTACAGAGGGGAGGGATATCTTCTTCTACCATGGTGCCTAAATGTATAATATCTGAACTGCATCTAGGGACTCAGAATCATACTCTAGTCAGCTGGGGATCTTCATACACTCTTTACAATCATGAAGAATCACTCTAGTAGGAATTCTCTGGTGGACATAAAGTAGGGTCCTTAGTACAAAGGCCTTCTCAAACTCAAAAGGTTTCTCTCCAGAATTAACTCTCTGATGTTGAGCAAGTTGTATCTTCAGGCTAAAGGGCTTCCCACATTCATTGCATTCATAAGGTGTCTCTCTAGTATGAAAGCTCTGATGTTGAGTACTAACTACATTCAGTAAGAAGGCCTTCCCTTGTACATTACATTCATAAGGTATGAATTATTTGAAGTGGAGAAAGATTTGACTGAAAGGCCTTCCCACACCATGCACATTCATAAAGAATTTCTCCAGTATGAATTCTCTGATACACAGTAAGATGTGACTTCTTCCTGAAGGCCCTCCCACATTCACTACCTACAAAAGGTATGAATTTTCCAGCATGAATTTTTGCATTACACTCTTAAGGTTTCTTTCCTGAATGAATACTTTGGTGTTGAGTAAATTTTATCATCACACTGAAGGTCTTCCCACATTCATTGCATTCATAAAGTTTCTCTTCAGTATGAATTTTATGATGTCAAATAAGATCTGAGTTGTAGGATAAAGTCTTCCCACACTCCTTACATTTATTAAAGATGTCTCCAGTATTAATTCTCTGATGTAGAGTACGATATTCCTTCTTCCTGAAGGCCTTTCCACATTTACTACATTCGTAAGGATTCTCTCCAATAGGAATTCTTTGACACACTGTAAGTTGTGTCTGGAACATCTCCTTGTGTCTCCTGGAATATCTGCCTCAGGCATTCAAGATGCTTCCTTTCTTTCCAACATCTGGTTTGGAAACTGCAAATCCCAAAGAGACCAGTTTCCTATAGTTCTCCAGCATCACATCTCTGTACAACTTTCTCTGAGATGGGTTCAATTGTACCCACTCCTCTCCAGAGAATTCCATAGTCATATCCTTGAATGTAAATTATTCCGGTGGCTTCAAGAAGCTATATAGCACGTGCATCGGCCACACGCCTAGGTAAACCATTTTGGCAGATGGGCTAAACCAAGTTGAGGGTAACCAAGAGGTATTAAATCTGTTGGCAAGTTTAGGGGGTTGTCTACACTAAGCATGTGAAGACGTCCCCTGGTGGAATGAGCAGATGAGAACAATTTGTTCCAAGGACCCTGCAAACAAATGAAACAGACACTGTGGAATGCTATGAGCTTGGTTAAACAGCAAAGATGCCAAGGTCATCCACTGCATCTCAAGCCATCACCAGTCATCTCACATCTGTCCTTGCCACTGGACTGTGATGACTCTTTTGGGGCCTGGCTGTCAGTACAGGAGCCATTCCTTCTTCCTCAAGGCTCCCACTCACTAGGGCAGAGCAGAGGCCACAGAAGATAGAGCATGTCATAGTTCAGCTCAGGATAAAATAGTGGAAGTCACCACCAGCAAGCACGGAAGATACCAAGGCCTTTCTTAGGATTAAAAAGACTTTACAGTATTCACCTCCTCACTCTCAGGGAACCCATAAATATTCTTAACAAAGAAAAGAAGGAAATGTTGAGTTTTAAATTCCAATTTACCTGTTTCAAATTATTTCTTACTGTTCTCAGTTCAAAGTCCAGGGTTCTAAGAGTGAATTCAAGATGCTGTTTTAGTTCCACTTCTTTAGTATATTGTTCTTGTATTCTTCTTAACTGTTCTCTAATTTTTTCAAATAGCATTTCTGCAGTCACTCGCTTTTCTTCTTCTTGCTTCAGTGTAAACCTAGATTAAAATTGCTTGTTTTGAAATCACAATTCAATAGAAATAAGGAATATAATGCCATTTAAGTATATTAAGCTATACCTCTAAAGGAAAAGAACATTAATTTGAGGGGAACTGGATCTATGTAGGGAACTCACCATCAGGAAACTCCCAATACTGATGTAGATGGGTCCCTGCTCAGCACTTTTGAGCCTCAGATAGTTGCCTGGGGCACTGAGGATTTACGTAACTTGTTCAGGCTCACACAGTCAGGATGTGTCAGAAATGAGACATGAACCCATTTCTCTATTCAGGCTACTTCAGAGCATTAAACTTATATAAAAAATGTATCATACAGTTCTTCGGATGCTTTGGCTTTCTGTATTCAATGGACAGAAATGCCATAAACTGGATACATATGTCCAGCTACTTCCCTCCTTTCCTATCTGCCTTCTTAGCTTTGAACTTTTACTGACCTGCACTACAGAGGAGCTAGAGGAAATGACTTTTTCAAAATTCCTGAGTTGTGATGCATCTGAATGACTCTGGTAAAAAGTTTAGAGGGGGATGTAGTTGAAATCTCTGACCAAAATTGAGTGTGGGAATGATTTCTACATTTCTCTCATCCATTTTCACATTATCATTGATTATTCAGAGTTGACTTTTTACTACATTTGGAAAAAAAATCAAGTAATTGTATGATAGTTTTAAAAATCACTAAAAATGCATCTCTCATAGATGGCCATAGAGTAAAAAGGAGTAAGTAGGGCTCATTTCATTATTATTTTAAAGATGTGTAATTTTTGCCTTCCTAATCTCAAATCCTCTCTCACAATGCTTCAACATAAGAGAAATGTTTTCAAGTCTTTATTGAAACTCATGAGTTAAATACCTGAGGCTACAGAGTTCTCTGTCCCATTCTGCTTTTTGATGCTCTAACTGGGATTTTATTTCCCTTGTTTCTGATAATTCTTCCTGTAGTCCAGTAATCTTGTGTTGTAAACTCTTAACTTTTCCAGCGAGTAACGTACAATGTCCTTTTTTAAGTTTTACTGACCGTTCAAATCTAAGAACTGCATCCTGAATTTTCAAAAGGCTAATATGATCTGTACAGAGAAAAATACAAAAAAAAATGAGTATTTTAATCCGCAGGAGAGTAGCAGCATACTTAGAATTCAGATACTCTAGCAATGATAAAATAGTATCCAAATATAAGTCATAAGGATATACTGAAATATGTTGTCAAAAGATTTGCATTGAATTTGAAAATAACCTGTTTCCTTGTGGACAATTAAAAAGAATATCTAAATTACACATCATTTTATAAAAAAAACTTGAAACCTCAGAATTCTTTACAATATGAGAAAAATATATGTGAAAAGTAATCATTCTGATGTGTACTTGGGGTGGGACAAATAATATTAATAAATAAGATTAATAAAATGGATTATATATTTAATATCTATATATTGCAAATATACTGAATCATTTTATATGTATCATAAATACATTTTACCCTAAATAGTTATTGTAAACACTGCTTCTTCTTTAGAGACTTATAATATAAATCTGTATGTAACATTCACACAATAACATCCATCCTCATTTATTCATTGGCCAGACTTTTGGTAACTTTAACCAAAATATAGCTGAGACACCAGAAGAAAGTGAAAAAAAATCATCTGAGCATCAAGGAAAAAAGCTACCACAAAACCCAGACACTTCATTCTGCAGAGAGATACATAGCCAAATTTAGACCTAATCCAGAGTTAGAAATGTGTGTTATATCAAGTTACAGATTCAAGAGACTTGGTTGTTGGTTTTCCCTTGGCAACTTTCAATTCTTCATACATTTCAGTGTTTAGCAGAATTGAAGCAGCAAAGAGAGAACAGGGTTTCTGGAGGTAGACATACTTATTGTAGTGGGCGATGAAGCTGACAGTAAGGGAAATCATAAGCTCAAAGATTCAAAGCAAAAGAAGAAACTGAGGCACAGGGCAGTTAAAGGACTTGAGATTCACACAGGTAGCAGGTGTATAAGGCAGAATGTGAACCTAGGTATTCATGGCATCATGTCCAGTACACTATCCTATATGCCACGCTGACGGAAGAATTATAAAAACTAGGCAGAACATTTGTGAGATTGTTGATATTTTTGACAATTTAATGAAAGATTTTAATATTTTGTCTATTCTTTCCATGAAAGAAATCACTGCCTGATATCTTTATGCATCTAGTCATGTCAGTCTCTTTAATGGTTCTCTATTGTCAACCCAGCAAATAAAATTCATACACCTCGTCCTAGCATTCAATATTAATAACTCACATGAAGTAACATAGCACATATAGGCTCTCAACCATCCTGTGAAATAAGGTGTTTTATAGATGAAGAAACTGAAGCTCCAAAATACTCAGTTCTTCCCCCTATCTACACCTACTGAATTCATACCCACTCTTTAAAACTCAACTCAAATGCTACCTTCACAAAGAAGTTATTAATTCTTGATAGTTAATGTTCTTTCCCACTTGGAACCTCACATAGCAATATGACTGTACTCTTCAAGTATTTATGCATTTTTTAGTATTAGAGTTATCTAGGTAGGCTATATCCCCCTTCTAGATTGCACACTCAATGAGGACAACGACTTTGTCTTATCTAAATTTTGTGTATATGGTACATGGGAGGTACTTAATAATTCTTTTTGAATTGAAACAAATAGAAGGTCATCTTCTGTGGCTGAAAAATTCATCACCCTGAAGCCACCATAATCCCTTTCACCTTGGCAAGGCCTGTCAGAGATTAGGCTCCAATGTCAGAGCCACCAAGAACCCAAAGTCAAATCTATTTTACTATGAGTCAATGAAATAGGACTTCAGGGTATCTTCTTATATATACTCACATATTTGGTTTCTGTTTAACACTAGTATTTTGTTAGGTAATTTAAGAATATTCTTACCTTTACAATCAACACTAAGTTGTTCAATCAATAATAAAACATTCTTATAGTTCAAGGGAGGTGAGTCATAATTCTCTGTAGTTGTGTCAGGTGACTGAGTTAGGACATCAAGACCATCTGCATCCCTCTGTCCTTTGTCCTATAAAATACATAACAGCACTGTAAATGAATAAAAACTTACAAATAATAACAACTAATATTTGTGTAGCACTTTAAGGTTTTCACTGCACTTTATATACATTATCTCATGGCATCCTCACAACCATTTTGTGCGAAAAGCTTTAGCTATAATTATTTTACAAATGAGGAAACGGTCTGAGAGAAGTAATGTGACTTGTCTAGGATCATACAACTAGCTTGCATTCAAATTCAGGCCTTCTTGACTCTATCCACTATGTCACCTAACTACCTAGAAGTTGGATTATTTAGGAACCTTATTAAAATTATCATAAATAGTCATAATATCTCTTGCAGACAATAGTCTTCATTTAATTTATAGGGGGAAATGAGGGAAAATCCAGCAATGTAATTACTTTCCTAGCATTCACAATGGATACATTTCACTAGGAGACTATTTCTAAAAGTATCCATTTTCAGATTAAATACTTCTATATTTATAGTGCAAAAAGGGGTACTATATGTTCATTGAAATATGCATTGTTTTCTAAACAATTAAAATGCATGTGAAAGTATACTAAGTTCTGAAAATCTTCTAATAAAACTAGCACAAAACACCCTTTTACTGAAATAATATTACTGAAATTTGAATATAATTTTTACATACCTGTTCCTGGTCACTTTTATCAAAACTTTCTTGGCCTTCCTCTGATGATCCTTTAAATTCCAATTCTCATGTGAAATCAATATTAATATTTAAGTAAACATTTATTTTATCTAGAATTATTGTTCTTACATAATTTAAATCCTCCCCACTAACAGTAATGGCAGTTATGACAGCTATAATTTATCTATTGAAATTTATTTTAATATAAATTGTAAGGAATTTTTATTTTACTAATTATGCATTTAGCTGATTATTTTGTAATCTCAGTTTACTAATACATTGTAAGTTTCTGGGAAGATGCTCATTTCATACCAAATCATAGGAAGCTGTGAAGATTGATTTATATTTAATCTAGTTTAAACAGTTACATTTGAAAAGGATAGGTAAACTAAAAGAAAATAGTCTGTGCATGATCAATTTATTAGTTAGGGTAGCAGTAAGCAATAAATTGGGTCATTGGTCTTTCTCAATGACCAAAGACCATGGGATAGTGATTACTAGCATTCATAGAGTTTGGGGAAGTACAAGAGAACAAAGAGCAGAGTTGGGTAGGTGGGGAAAACAACGAGACAGGTTATAGAGGAGACAGCATCATGGAGATGAGGACAATGTGACTGATGGAAAACTGGGAGTGAACAGTTAGTAACAACCCCTTCCTTTTCTCTTCTGACTAAGAAATGTTCATTACTTGAGTCCACCTGCAAGATTACAGACAGTGGATCAGACGATGGATAACAAGCCAGACGTCCCTGAAGGGTAGCTGAGTGTTATAAAGATACTAGACCTGACTTGCTGGTGTCCACATGCTTCCTTCAAGGGTAACACATTTGCTTGACACGAGAATAGAAAAGTGATTAACCAGGGAACTAGATTTCTAAATTTAACTCATTACAGGACAGATGAATTTCTCAACTAAATTCAGAGAGAAAGAATAATGACTTAGGCAGTGAGAGGACAAAATCAATTAAAAAAAAGACAGAATGTGATCATTTCAAAACACAGAGAGAACAAAACCTAAATCTTAATATGTGAAACCGCTGGCCAGGACTGTTTCAAAAGAAGCAGGAAAAAAGGCCTTTTCCTTGGTGCCATGTTACATAGGAAAATAAAAGTAAATGAGACCTGTATCATTAAGTAACTCTATAAACTATTCTGATTGAGCCAAGAAAACATGAAAACAAGATGGGCAGATAATACTCCAACTGTTAATTAGAAATTCACTATAAAACATTTAGTTACCTCAGAGCTAGATACATATGATTACATGGAGAGAAATTCACAGAGGTGAAAAGTTTACCAGAACTTCTAAAAGTTAGAAAGAAATAACTGTATATGCCACAAGTCAAACAATCTATTGAAATAAAACAAACATGAACAGTTAAACCTGAGGATCACACAATTATCTTAATTTATGCAGCTTCAATAATAGTATTAAAACAACATTCCCAGGTATGGTAATTGCATTCCATTCAAACCAAAACAATTACTGGGAAGCTTCAACTAGCCAGATAATTCACTACTTGGGGAAAGTTAAATCGATTATAGTTAGCTTTGGGGAAGATAGATATAAATAATCCAAAATGACAGAAAAAAAAGAAAACTCATTCATATATGGATTTTATACATGAATATAAACCTAATGGTTTTAGTATTTGAAACACTAAAAAAAATTGAGTAGCAAATCACAGTTAATTAGATAGGAGAAGACTAATTTAGCACACAAGCCTAAACTACCCCCTTTCAGTGTTTGTGAAATAGAGAATTAGAGGATTAGATTGATTAGAGGAGAAACTCAAAATACCTCTTAAAAAGACACTTGCTAGATTCTAGGCCGAATGACAGGAGTGAAAACAAGCAGTGAATTCTGTTTTCACATGACTTTCTCATTTATTTTGCTTACCTATACTAATAAAGACTGAAATGTAACAAAGTGAGCAAATGATCTACCTATGGAAAATTCAGAATTTTAACTCCACATGCTTCTTCCTTACCTTCTTTACCTTCCTCTTCTTTTAGAGGGAGCTGTGGTTCACACTGCTCCTGAGGGACTGGTTTTTCTACTAGAATCACAACCCTAAACCTAGTCTCAGGGCCACTTCCAGCTCCAGCTGCTTCATCTTCTTTTAAAGGAATCTTTCCAAATTCTGTGGATCCTGACTGATTTTTGGTCAGTGGCAGGGAGTGGCAAGGATAATTCCCATTCAATTTCAAAGTCTTTGAATTTCTGTAAATCTCATTTTTCTGAGAAGTACTGGGAGAATTCCAATCAGAAGCATCTGCAAAGGAAATACTGGAGTTAAATCATACATCAATTCTATCCACCTGACACAGGATTTAATTTTTTCACAGGATGTCATTCAAATTACCACCGAGCTTTATGACTTTATTTATTTATGCATCCTGTATTTTATCTCTTAGGTAACATGAAGAAAAAACCAGCATCTGTTTTCTTTCTTTTATTTAGCCTATCCTCTTTCTACAATTACCAGCTCTTATTCCCTCATGAAAATCTACCTCAGAGTGTAGTCCCAAAGAATTTATTAGTAAGATACTTGGGAAAAGGCTTTTCTTTTGTGATAACCTTTTAAAACTAACATGCACATTTGACTTTTAAATTAATTTAGCATGCAGCAATAGAGTCCAAACCTGTGATTTATTTATAGAGAATTCTCAGGTGAGGAAATTCCATCTAATAATGTACAGTGATACCTTCTCTCTGCAACTTACAGTCTTAGAAAATTGCCTAGGGCACTGAGAGGTTAAGTGACTGGCCCAAGGTCACCTAGCCAGTATGTGTCAGAGATGAGACTTAAAACTATTTCTTTTTGGCTTTGAGGAGAGCTCTCTATCCACCATGCTAAAATATTTTTCAATAGAAAATCTTTACAATTAGGATCCCTTCAGTAACTATATTTTAAAAAAAAAGAACTCCCATTTGTTCTAAGAATAGTATCATTTTTTTTCTAATGTGAACCTCTTTAATTTGACTGGAAGATAGCTTTTTTCAGAATAATCTAATTTCTTGAAGTTTAATCTTTTAACTTTCAATATGCATTACAAATTCATTAAGACAATGACAGTTTATAGAGTGTAAGTATTCCCTTACAAAATGAGACAAGACTACTTTTATACTAGTTTCAAAAAGTGCAAATAAAGGACAATGATGTATGAAAGGAATAAACACCAGAATATACAATAAACATTTAAACTTCTGGGTCTTTAAAATTTCTCTCATCCTTCATTTAATCAAGGCATGTCTTCAAGTTATTATTATTCAGTATCTCCCCTCCCTTTCACTATCTAATTACTAGAGTTATTTATATTCACTCCTCAAACCCTTTTATCTGGCTTTGAGCTTCTACTGGCTTCTACTGAACCTGCTTACTCCAATGATATCCTAACTGCTAAGACTGACAGCTTTTTTCTCAGTCTTCATCATTCTTGACCTTACAAAGTTTCAGATACTGTTGGAGTCCCTTGCCTCACAGATAATCTCTTCTGATAATCTTTGTTGGTGATCTCATCCACTCTCATGATTTCATTGGGAAGCGGTCAGAACAGGTCATACCAGATGACCTTCACATTTTGACAGGGTTATTAGACTGACTGACGAGGGGATTATCGTCACCGAAATTTCAGCCAAACATTTGACAAATTCCTTCATGTCATCTTTGTAGACAAAATGACAAACACAAGTAAAAACACAAGATAGAAGTATGGATAGATAAATGTTTGTCAAAGTTTGTTGGATTTTGTTGGACTATATGCTCAATATGAATCAATATAGCAACCATAAGAGCTACAGCAATTTTAGATTTCATTAAAAGAGTTATAACGTCCAGAGGGAAGGAGATGTTAGTCTGCCTGACCTCTGCCTTGGTCAGATCACACCTGAATTCTGTGCTTAGTTTTGGACACCACATTTTAGGACTGGCTTCTGGACCTCTCAGCCTGTATACCTTCAAATTCAACCTGAACAAGCCTGAACTCATTATTTCCTTTTCCTCCCCTCCTCTACCTCTAAAGTCATCAGTCCTTTGATATTTCTTATCGTTGTTAAAGACAGGCCATCTTCTCAGTCATCTGGGCCTATATCATTGACCCTTCTCTCATCCAAATATGTGTGTGTGTGTGTGTGTGTGTGTGTGTGTATAGACCCACACTTTTCCAAAAGTTGCTATATATTGTTGATTCTACCTCCATAACATCTGTCATCTTCTCCCTTTTCTTCATTCCCAAATCCATCCTCCTACTTCATAACCTCATCAACTAAATTTTTGCAATAAATTACTAACCAGTCTGCTTATCTCTGGTTCCTACCTTCTCTGGTCTGTTCTACACAAAGCTGTCAAGTC